AGGATCAGGAGACATCGGGGGATTTTGGCAGCGGCGGTGCGGTCATACTCCTCGACGATCAAGAAGAGGAGCCATCACAGACCGGTCGGAGCCGGCAGAAGAAGAGACGGGGCCGCATCCATCCCCGAGGGACCATCGAGGACGACGAGGACGAGGAAGAGGACAAGGATGACGAAATCGGCTACGTTTGGTAGCTCCGCTCCATTTTCCTTTGCCATCAGCTGACCAGGAAACTCCGTTAACTCAGCACAGATCTAAAGCCATTCCAATGTCTCTTCCTCCAGTTACCTTGGCAGCAGTCCATCTCCTGGCCCCTCAACCTGCTACTGCAATCTCTGTCCCTCATCCAAATCTCTCTCTTCAGTGAACCTCATCTGACCTCTTCATTTTCAAGCGTTTCACTCTGTCCTCAGACAGAAAATAGAGAGACTATTAGATTTCAACAACTGTCAAGCCCCTTTTAGAATTCTGCTCGAGCTGTCCACTTTCCGCCTCCACGTTCCCCCAAACCTGTGATCGTAAACACCTTCTAACAGGGACTCTATTATCTCTGTCACTCGTTCCATCTTCTTTCAGTCGTTCTCCCTTTCTCCTATCACTGTATGTCCATGTCAGAATCTCTGGTCAGTCTATGAGCCCAGATATGTTAGCTGATGTATTGGATGTAAATATGTTTCCTTAAGGGAGGCCAGGCTATGGACTACCTTCCCTGTTGCTCCATCAGCGGCTCATTTTCATATTGTGTGTTCCACCGTCGGGCTCCTTCTGGTGTTCAATGATGTTTCTGCAAATTGCTGCCACAGTTTAAGGCTCTGAGATGCTCCTTCTCCCTCTCTCTCTCACTCTCTCTCTCTGTTGTTTTAAGGAGGATTGTAAAATATTTGTTGATCTTGAATGTTCCAGGAAGCCCAGGAAACAATGAGATTAATGATGTATTGTCGTTGTTGTTGCATGTTTCTCATCGTGTTTCTATAAAAGAGAGATTTACCTGGCCAGGTCTAGCTCTATGCATCTCAAACAGAAAGTGATGCCTATTTGGCTGCTACAATACTTTGTTGCTATGTTGATGCTGTCTAGTGTCTTTTTGGTTCTTCTCCCAATCTCAGGAGGTAGGAAGTTGCATTGCAAAGTGTGATAGCAGTTAAGAAAAGCAAACTGCAAAACCTACAGTCCAAATCGGTTGGTTCTCAGCCAGCTATTCTTCTACTAATTGGTCAATAGGGCTGCTGAGGATTTTTGACTGCGCATGGACACTAAGCTGCTCCTGAGCTGGGAGGACACACGAAGTCATGCAGAAGAAGAGGCTCAGTTGTGCGTCAAAGCGTTGGATATGTTCAGTGATTTGAAATTGAAGTCTTCACCATGTCAACTACGTGAACTTTTATTTGTAACTTTGAGAATTTAAGTAAAGTGGCACTTTGGGTGTCTTTTGAACCTTACAGGTCTGCGTCCATGTGTCTCTTGTTCCCCCGTGATGAAACTTTTTAGGCAGGACGTCATGTGTTTCATCTCATTTCACAAAATCGTGATAAAAAAAAAAGTGATGAATAAAAACACATCTCTTGCCTCTCTTTGAAACCGCAAACACATTTGCATAAGATTTTTTGCTTTTATTTTTTTCCGAAGCCCGGATTTTGCTGCAGTATTACAATCAAAGCCCTCCATCAATACTGACCTTTTCCAACCTTGAGAAAGCGTCGTCCCTGTTAGAAGCAGACATAAATGGTAGCTTCAGAAAATACTCTTATAACTTGCCTTTGAGAGAGGAGAATCACAAAGCTAGCGGTGCCCATAAGAACATAAAAGCTTAATGAGTGTTTTTGTAATATCAGTGGCTAATGGGACAGCTGACCCCACTGGCTTGAAACAGCCTGCGCAGCACTTTGAAAACACATTGTACCAACAATCAGAAGCTAAAAGGACAACTGAATCTTCTGGCTTGAAAAAGCCTATTCAGCAGTTCACAGCACTCGCTGTCACACAGAATAGACAATGGGCTTAACTATGTGCATCAAATTATGCTGGAAGCTGTGGAGGGTGTATAATCACCCGATTCTGGGACCCTGGCTCGTGCGTCTTCTGCTGTCATCAGGCTACATGAGAAACGTTGGAAAGAAAATGTCTGTCTGCTTCTTGTGTCTCCACTGTATCCGCCTATATTCCCAGTTGCAGTGCTATATGGCTCTCAGCTATTCCTTTCACTGGATCCTTAATGATAATTAGTGATAACACCGTCTATAAAATCATAAAGAAAACAAAAATACATTTTGCTCAGATTCCTCTCCTTGATAAGGTCGCCAAGGTAACCTTTAAATATAGTCATAAGTAGGAATGCATCTACTTAAGCATCTGTGGCACCAAGGCCATGCTTGTCTATCTTCAGGAGAAAGACCTTGCAGTTTCAGCAAAACATCTCTTCCTTTTTAGAGCCGTCACATAAAGTGTTTAATTTCTGTTATTCAGAGTGATGTTTAAGGAGGACATACACATGAAGGGTTTGTTTATACAGAATTAAGGTGAAATCGGCTTGTTTTCCTCATCTTTCCTCTCACTCGGTGCTTTTGCTTGAAGACATCTCGGTCTACTGCGTTGTCTTTTTGCATCTTTGTTATGAAATTTTTGTCACAGCATGGGTTCGTCCAGCCACCTGCAGCAGAACTCCAACTCGTGCAGATGCCCTTTTACTAAAAGGAGTAATCAGACAAAGTATCACTGGGTTCAGGAATATGATGGATATTTTGAACACACGGAAGGTTGTTCAGGAACTTCAGCTAACATGGTGTACTGCACACCACGGCTCACATTCAGCCACTCACAAGCTGTCTCATTATTGTTTCTGTTTTCTTCTGCTTTCCCACTGAAACTCACTCCTCTTGTAGTGAGCTCTGTCTTCATCTCAGAAAAGGGAAAGCTTGGTTGCATTCTATCCTCAGGGCACTTCACTGCTCTGTTTCGTTTCTCTATTGGCTGCTTCTTTATTATCCCCAAATGACTTTTCCTGTTGGGTGGATCCTCGTATCCACTCAGCGTCTCCATAGAGACTGGTGATGGCCACAAGTGGGGCTTTATGCAGTTGGCTGCAGTTATCGTATGGAAATCGAGCTCCTGGGTGGAGTTAAAGTGTTAAAGCAAAAAAAGGAATTTCTTTTAGTCAGGATCTTGTCCAACACATAAAACCTTATGTTATACCTATACTTTGTTTCTTCATGTAGTTTTTCTGTTAGTGAATTTTTATTAACATGCTTGCATGGAGATTCACATTGAAGTTGAAAGATTGTTATTTAACACTTGGCAAAAATGTAACAAAGCATATTTTCCAAAACTGCTTCCCTTATACATACATTCACACAAGATGTATTCAGTAAATGGCCATGTGACTGATCCACAGTGACAAGGGGTCATCATTTATGTAGGACTACACGGCATTTTTCTTCCCTCATCCCACATTTGGAGACAATGTCCTACATGTGGATTTGCTCCACTTTATGAAACTCACTAGTGCGGCACAGATGCATTCCTACATTCTGTCTTTATCTAATGGCTGTGAAGAAAACAGGTAAGGCTGTCATCATGGCTCGAGCACAGGTTAATAAGTCACCATCTTTTGCCATGTATGTGTTGGTAACAATAAAGACTGGTAGTTTTTAAAGGTCATTTGCACAGTTTTGGAGTTTCCCACTGGGGAAAATATGACAGAAAGCTCATTGTATGTAGCGCCATGCATGTAGTTTCATTGATGAGATGCTTATGAAGATGTGGTGATGTTTGAATGCATTCATACTGAAATAATTCGATTGTTTGTTGGTATCAGGTTCCCTACATACACGTCAGTTAAATCCGTGGGCTTCCATTTAAAAGCTGCAGCGTATACTACAAGTTATTAATATCGACAAGCTAAGTCCAGTACTAAACCAGACTTCTCTAAAGTGGGCAAGCTGCGATTGGAGTCACTCATACCTTCACTTTACATATTTAACTGGGCCATAAGTCAAGATTGCCACTTTACATGTTAAAAGTCAAAGTGGATCTCCAAAGTCCTCAGGAATGAGAGCACTGCTCATTTTTTTTCCAGGTTGTTTTCATTCTAGCTGTGTGATCAAGGACCAATTTACGCTCACAACCCCAGGGGACTGCAAATAACTACCTGACAGGACAGAAATTCAGCAGCCCTCCAGAGCCCGAGGACCAGATTTGAGGATCACCAGTCTAAAGCCTGCCTATGTAATTGGCAGACACATTGTAATAAGTAGGGATCATCTCCCCCTAATCTGTCACAGCCCACCACTCGCACTCACGCTCTCTTTCATGCTTGGCTGCCACTGTACCAACCAGCTTGTCGAGCCTCGAGACAGATCAGACCCCTTCATGCCCTCCAGTGAAGCTATCTTGGCCCATTCAATTCCATGCGATAACCAGCACTGCTATTCCAAATTTGCACATTTCTGTCAGCGCCCTCTCCCTGATGGCACGTATTTTGCTGCATGCAGCCTTCTGCAAATAATATTAACAGGTACTAAAAAGCGGCTGCACTGGCTTCATTCCAGGGAGTAGCGATAAAACGAATTGAAACTCTTTGTCGAGAAGTCAGAAGACGCATGCAAACCACTATAATAGGAGTTTCATATTACCCTCAAACAAATAAATGTATTTATGGTTTCTAAATCATTTTTCTTATCTGATACTAGGCCCTGTATAATTCAAAACCAAACCCCACCTTGTCCAGCAGGAGCTGTGATGCTGCTGTCACTTTGAAACAAATTGCATTATTTTCCATGCAGCACAAATGTGACGTGAATTTGTAAAAAGAAGACTGTGTGTGACACTAGTGCCCTCTTGTGGTTTGCTCCCAGTTTTTACTTGCATCACACATTTCCACTGATGACATAGGAGGTTATCAATTTAAGGCGTTGAACACATAACTGAGTCCGGCCATAGACGTGTTGCTTTTTTTGAAAATATATCATTCACTATTTTTTTCACTCTCATAAAAGAAAACAGTCTTTTACAGCAACCTTTTAATTATCATCAGTATGACATGTTTTTTTCTTGGGTAAATGTTACAGTTGCATAAAGATTGTGGTTAATATGGTCAAAATATAGAGTTTGCATCAGAAAGGCACTTTATGACAAAAAAAAAAATCAACATTTTCTCCTGTTCCTGTGGGCTTTGTGTAGTTATGACAAGAAACGATATAGTTTCTTGTCATAACTGAGTTTTGGATGGAAAGCCTCCTTGTTTTGAATTATTATATAAAAAAAAACTTTGGGTTACGCTGTAGAAGAAAGGCACCCTGTTTAAATGTTTTACATAATTTTTGTAGTTTCTCAGGATAATCTCGCACCTCTCCCTTTGTAGTAAATGAGCTAGTAAGACTTTTGTACTGGCCTCATCATTGTTGTATATTTTCCCATTAGAATATCTCCACATATTTGGCGTCTTCCCTCACCAGCGGCTACTCTGAGCTGCAGCTTCCACATCCATGATTCGTGGAAGTCTACCACTAGCACCACCTTCCAGGTAGCCAGGCTTCACAGCAGGTGTATCCGAGAGCCTCCTCTTGCTTTTGTTCAGTTCTGTATCAGAGGAAAAATAATCAATTTTACAAGAGGAGAGGAGCACAGCATACTGCCAAAACAGAGAGAGAAGTGGACACGGCATAAATCCCGGCTGAGGCTTCAGAGATTCACCTGAGATTGCTAATAACATCTTGCGCCGTGCTCCAAAGGTAGATACACCCACTTCCTTCAGATCTTCGTCAGACAGAGTGAGGAATGTCTGATAGTCAATCTAGAGGAGTGCAGACCGAAGTTGCATCATGATGCTCATTTATAATGCATTAACTCTTTCGGCTTGTGTTTCCAAGCTGAATGAAAAAAAAAAAAAAAAAGCGATTTCACAAAATGATCAAGTGCGACTCTCTGTGTGAGTTTACCTCTTGCTGTTCAAACACATCGATGTATTTGAGCAGGCCCAGCTGGCCGAGCAGCTCGGGCAGGTCATCTGTCAAGTGGGGGCTGGGGCTCCGCTGACTGCAGGTCGACCCCCTCCTCTGTGAGCGCACGCTTTCGAAGTAGCTGCTGCCATTGCTCGCAAAGCTCTCCGCTGAACACCAGAGGTCAAAGTTTAGAGGAAAAGGTTAAACGCAGCAGGGAGCAGGTGATCTCTGTTTAGCTGAGTGCACAGAGGTCAGACTTACAGGGCTTGTCGCTTCTACTGCGGTTCATTGAGGAGGCAAATGCAGGAAAAGAGGATGATGAGGAGAAAGTAGTCAGAGGTGAGGATGGGGAAGATGAGGATGAGGACAAAGAGGAAGAGATGGGCTGGGATGAAGATGTGGATCCACGTCTGTCCCTCCAGTTCTCAGAGTCGCTTCCATTAGCCACCTTTCCTGTCTGAGCAGCCCAACACTAGAAGGAGATAGTAACAGCATTAAAGTGGACCTATTTTTGCTCTTGGACTCTATTAACTTTGCATGATGCAAGGTTAAAGATATTCCTTATTTATCTTTTACTGGGTCTTGTATTTTTCTTGTACTGCTCTGACACTTTGTCTGACAGGTTTGAAAACCAGGTGGATGTTACTGCTGTTCTTGTATCCAAACTGAAAATAGTCCCCTTATACAGGCTAATGTTGCTTTCTTCTGACAGCGTTGTGCACAATAGCATCATCGTGTCATTTTGCCACCATGCCCTACTGTCATCTCTCCCCTGTCTCTGTCCCAGAGACAAATAGCTGCAAGTGGCCATAAACTTTCTAATGCCTGTAGATCCAAGGATTTAGCCACATCCATTTAGCGTGTCTCTAAACCAGCTTATTTGCCACTGTGGGCTGATCTGTGACAGTAAAAGTCCTTCACTTGAATCTATCAATGCAGCGGGCATAGCAAATGCTTCCTCCCAGTTGCCTGGGTCTCAGAGGAAAATTGAACTCATTGGAGAAATGCCTCTTGCTTTCATTATCCTAAGTGAGTCTGCTTCTACATCAATGGCCAGTGGGCAGTCAGAGAGCAGCTATTCAAAAGGCTTTAAAAGAGCAGGGGAGATGAGCTGAACCAGCTCAGGTAAACAGGTTGCCAAAGAGTGCCTGTGTTGACCACACCGATGGTATCAGACGCCAGGTAATTGAGCGTACAAATTGGCAGTGCTTACCACACAGTGAGATAAATGCTCGAGACTGTTAGGGGGCAAAACCAATAAATGAGACTGTGTTAGAGGGCCACCGTGGCAGCGCTTGTTTCACTGCACTGCAGTAAAAGCTTCAACTGAATTCAATCCAACAAAAGTAGCTGTACCTATAAATCACGAACTCTACCTATAACTTTAAACGAAAACTCAAAATGTTAATCTGTGAGACCATTTTTTTCAGCTTTTAAGTAAGCAGTAGGCTCATCTGTACCTGTTGCTGGTTATTACCGGTGCTCAGGTAGGGTTTGTAGTTGCGTCTGCTGATGTTGCGAAGCTCTTTTACAGCCTCGGCTGGCATAGACTTGGAGAAGCCAAGGCCACTCCACGTGTCTGTGGGCGTGCGGACCTCTGTGACTATAGGCTTCCTCTGCATGGCTAACATAAAGACACATAAACACGGAGTTAGAAAATGTGACTTTGGGACCAACTGGCATCAAAAGCATTACCGTCTGTGATGTTGTCTGAAATCTGATTGCCAGCTTTCACATAAATGCAGCACGTTGCTTGTTCAATGCGGAAAGTCTGACTGTAGTAGTGCTGTGGCAAAAGAAGTGAATAAGGAAACACTTTCAGAAAGCTTTACAGCTTTAAATTCACATAAATGGATTTTGCAGCAAGCATCAATACTCATATCCGCAGACTGTCTATCATAAAAATGCTTTGCAGGTTTTCCACGTCTTCTTTGGTACTCTGATGTGAGCGGGCTGGGTTCATGTGTTAAATAATGAATCACGAACAGTGTTACTTCTCTTGCCAGCATGTGGCATACTTAATAAAACTCTGAGCGCTAAGACTTAGACTGGCATACGCACTCAATCGACAAACAAGTGACCCTGGGCCTCTTCCATGTGTGAATGTGTGATAAAAACTGCAACAGTACTCCATAAAGAGTGCAATATCAACAGGATTATTACTGGTAGGTTTTCTATCGGGTGTCTTTGTGTGTATTTGTGGCGTAAATGTCCCATTCATATCCTGGCATACGGGTGTCTTAATGGCTGAGAGGCAGATGGCCCATTCAAACTGCTAATTCATAATCCCATAAAGGAACACTGAGGGAATTTAGTACCATTTGGCTGCAAATCTCTTCAGTATCTCTCATTCTGCGTGAGGGATGCTACGTGTATGAGAGCGCACGCACCATTCCTGGATGCATGTGTGCGCGGGTTGTCTGCATTGTGTACCTACCCCTGGTGAATTAAGTGGGAGTGCCAGTGCTACTCTATTATAACTTTGGCACACTGCAGCCCATAAACAGGCCCCCTTCATCAGTTGTCTTGGCAGTGAGCACTGCGGAAATGGGACCCCTTTATCAAATCCCTACTTCTGCTTGGGATATTAATGTGTTTCCCCTATAGCATGCTTGAATAAACTTAAAAGCCTACTTCATCTGCCTTAATCCACTGACATTAAGTATTTTTCCAGCAATGATGTGAGCAAAACATGTGATTGTTACCAGCAAAACGAAATTATTCCTGCTCCCGTTCAGCTCCGAAAACAAAACAAAAAAGTGTGCTGATGAGCAAAACAACAATATACTTCACCAAAATCTATTTTCGTGCAACTATCTGCAGAACAGCAGCTGTGAATCAATAAAAAAGAAGGAATGCTTGCTTAGCAGTGCTAATCATTGTTGCAGAACATTTCTGAAACCGCAGCAAGACAGGAAGAAATATTAAACATTTAAAAGGACTAACCTCTGGTTGCCAGCAGTTTCTTCTTTTCATAGTCATAATCCTACAAAGTACAAACAGGAAATGGAGTAGGTAAATAATGCATGAAATTGAATTTTTTTTTTCTTTGGTTACTGAGAGATGGGAGGATAGCAGGAACCTAATTTACAGCAGGAACAAACACTTGCATAAGAAAACACGTCCTGCTGCCGTGGCAGTAAACTTGTTAATCCTTCTTTGCATAACCTTTGCGTATGTGAGATGGGAGAAAAATAAGAGGGGAGACAAACAAAGAGAGAACCCAATTTTCAAAATCAATCTGCAAATCAATAGATTATAGACCGTGACAAAGAAAATGATCTTCCCGTTTTCAGTTTAACGTGACATTTTCAGCGTTCGCTCATCCACTGTCCTACAGAGATGCGATTATCTGTCCACTGAGCATCATCCGTGACCAAAATGTCTGCCACAGACTCCGTGCATAACTTCGTGAAGAAACAAGCAAGGAAGAAACCTGCAGCTCCTGTTTTTCTCACCTCGGCCTTGAATGAGTCAGCGCGAACATTTTGAGCCAGAGTCACATCTCTCCTCAGGCTGTTCCTCCGCTCACTCCTCCCTCCCTCAGTGTCTGCGTTCAGCAATCTGGCACAGTCAGGAGGAACACGTGCGCGCGCACACACACACACACACGCACACACAGATGGTAAAGCAAGGTTAGGTGAAACTGTGATGGCTCTGTGCAATCTTTGAGTTCTTATTAACTCTGTCTTTCACCTGCCTGCAGCAGTTCTACGGGAGGATTTCAAAGTGTCATCGTGCAGTTTAAATATAGAGTGTGTTAAATGTGAGCTGCATCATTAAAACTGCACGCTCTGTAGAGCTGATTTATATCAAATAAAACTGAAACCAAAGTAGAGCAAGTATAAACAACAAAATAATTTTCCAGAAGTTAAGACTAAAGATTATGAAGAGTCATCAGAGAGTAGGTGTGTGTACCTGCTAAACGCTCACCTGTATGTTAACACCTGCCCTGTTGAATGGCGCCTGCCCTGGCTGAAAACCTTGGCAATTTCAGGACCCTGAAGGCTCCCCCTCCGACCATTCAGTCCGATCCTGCTGATGCTGCTCTTCAAAGCGTCACACGTCTCAGACGATGACATCGCCACGCCCTCAGAGCTCTCATGCTGACCAAACTGGTCCTCATTTTCCAGAATCTGAAAAAGAGAATTGGAAATTTTCAGAAAAATTTCACATTGTGTTTTGTCATTTTGAACATTAACAGTGAAACACCTTCTCCAGAGGTCGACCATCTGTTCCCTTCGGCCCTGCCCTACCCTCCTCAGTGGGAGAGGTGAGGCCTGGTGGAGGTGAGGGGCGTGGCTTTGTACCGTTCGGCATCTCTGTAGCAGGAACAGGCACGGGGCCTGATAAGCAAGAAGAAGGGTGATATGAATGAATCAGTATGAAGCAGAACAATTTAAGAAAGAATTATTGTGATTGCAAAAACAAATCAAATGTGTTAATGCTCTCACCCTGTTCAGACAGGCGAAGCTGCTGCAGCAACATATTGAGCCAGTAATTGGTCAGCCCACTGCCAGGTAGCAGAGAGCCAGGGGTCATTTCAGCTATCTTAACAGTCTCAGAGGAATCCAGCCCCAGGAGCAGACGGCGGGCCTCATAGAGGCAGGAAATATTCCTTTCCAGACCTTTCACCACAACTGACTGACAATTATAAACCAACACAGATTTTTAGATCAGTACTCAACTCAGCAGAAAACTACAGGGGAGAATATTTTGCATTCAAAATCAAAGAAATATTTCAGGGCAAGTTTTTATCAATACAAAGCCCAATCAAATTAGCATTTTTCAGTTGTGTCTCAAACAATAAGCATCAGAGCCACAAGGTAAAATGTACCTTGCTGGTCTGTTTTACTTTGGGCTTGACACTAATGAAGACTCCAAGGTTCCGCATCATCTGAGCCAGCTTGCAGGGATCAGCCTCCCCATCTTCACGCATGTCAAACATCAAACACATAGGCAGACAGTCCTATTGTGTACACAAATATGCAAACATCACACAGATTGTAAAAGTATCAACCATTAAAAGCAGCAAAGTTTTCTCAGCATTGTTTTTTAGCAGTTATGCGCACACAAAATAAACAGCCCCGCTGTACCATGAGCTGCTGCCGAGCCAGACAAACCCCATCAGGGCTGCCCTGAATGAGCAGCGAGGGAGGACTCTGAGGGGCACTGAGGTCCGGTAGGATGATCTGGGTCTGGGTCTGGTGCATAACGCTCAGGAAGTGAGCGCCATTCTGTCCCAGCAGGAATAGGTGCTGCTGGGAGGTGACATCCAGCTGGCTGCTGACAATACCGCCTGCAACCTCTGCTCCCAGCAGGAGGTCCATCAAGATGCAGGTCGCCTTCTGTGAGGTGATGGTATATATAGTCACGGCATGATACTTAAACCTCATTACCCAGTAGTCTCCTTAATCTTTAACGCTAACCTTTACAACATCTGCATTGCCCTGCAGACCCCAGACAGTGCAGGAACTTCCATAAAAGGGCGGCTGGGCTTGAGGCTGGGGTGGCATGGCCCTGAAGCTCACACTGACCCCAAGAGTCTGTACTACCTGCTGGATAAGTGGTGAACCTGGATCTGGCAGAGCCTGGGGCACAACACTCACTGGCAGGTCAAAGGTCAAGGA